CCAGACTCCCTAACTCTAAGGCACAGAGGTTTCAAGACCTTACCCCTGATGGCTGCTGGGTGTGCTCTGAATGTTTTCAAAGTGCTTTTAGATACTTAGCAGGATCTACCTATGAGCCTATATTCTATATAATGTTTTGTATTTTATCAAATAAAATCATAAAAGCGAATATGTTCTTTCGAACTGCTTATCTCAATAAGATGTTGTATTTCTTTGTAAATTAATATTTTAATGCTTATAAGAGATGTTCATCACACAAATGGAACATCTTACCATGTTCAAACTCCTTAGCCTCAAGTATAAAAATACAGATAAAATGTGTTATTTTATACTGTCAAATGTTTCTCAAGTGTTTGCCTCATAGACCACAATACAACCATGTTCCAGGGCAAGCCATAGGTAATATTACACACCTATGTGTTGGGCATGTGCTCATACTTCTTAAAATCTCATAGCACTCTGCAAGTTGGGAATGCAAAACCAAATGAAAATTCAGAGAAGTAAAATAAATTGTCCTGTGTCTTAAGGCTGCTACTAGTAAAGAAGTATCTATTCTGGACAAGGCCAAGTCTCCTAACTCCAGTATAGATATTCTTTCTATGACCCACTCAGGTGCTTATGAAAATTTCCTCTGGTGTGCTTTAAAAGGCAAGACTGTGAATGTGGTATCTGTTAGTTTCAGTACACACGAGGGTGGATTTACAGAGAATTAAACTTTTAGTTCTTAGTCACTTCTAAAATTTTCTATCATTAGAACCAGGAGCATAATTAATTTGGGGAGAAAGATTCTGTTTTTCTATTTATACATTTTAATCTTTTCACATAAGATATCCTGCATTACTATCGTCTGAGATCACCATAAAGGACAGGGCCAGATAACATTGAATCACCTTAGACTCATGGAAGGCCTTTCCCATTCTTTTCCTTTTGACAAAATGGCCCCGGTGTCCCATCCTGCCAGGTATGCTATAGCAGAGCAGGTGGCCTGTACAAGGACTCAACTTTTGAAACTAAAAGAATTAAAAAAAAAAGTTGGGATGAGAGTAGCTAACTTCTTAGATTCTTGAAAGCTATTTCCATGTTGTAGAATGTTCTTTAGTTGCATTCTGTTTTTCCTAACACAGACACAGACATCTCTCTTCTACTTTTGCCATCAATCAGTTGCTAAAGCCCCTGTCTGATTTATCATCAAAATGTCCATCATTTCCCCTTGAGGCATCCAGCCCAGTCCCTTCCCATTTGCTCCTTCATCTGAGCCAGACAGATGAGAGTGGGGGGATGGACCACAAGGGACCTTACTAACACATTTGTTAATGCTCTAGGATGCCAGCCCACATTCAATTTTTTTCCTGTGAAAAGAGGGAGAGCATAGAAGAAAAGGCAGAAACACAAGAAAATGACTGTGGTCCGTCTCTAGTTCATTGCTTACCAACTCTGAACTTGAATAGTTTTCAACACTAAATGGAAACTAAATGATAACATACATCCCAAGGCTGTTATGAGACATTAGTAAAACTATGCAAGTGCAATGCCTAATAGGGTCCCTGACTAAAATTGAGGAATGAATTCTTACTCTGATATTTCCTGCCAATGTATGTTTTCTATATATCTCTCTTTATTTCACTGTAATCAATGTCTGTACTCTTCCTAACGCAAGAAGACATTTTTTGAGAAGCTCAAATATTAGTTATGTTTTATATAGCCTATAAAATTGAGATAGCAGAGTCAACCATATATATTGAAGCTAGCCTACTTGTTTCTTTGCCCCCCAGAAACCAAAGATGTTTTGTGTTAGAATCATTTTTCATAGATGTAAATGAATTTTTGCAGTATTTGAACATGGCCATAGATTTTGCAAAGCAAAATAGTTTACCACTCCTTCCTAGTGTACAGGAAGACATTAACATATGATGAGGAGTAGGAAGAGATAACAGTTATTTTAGTGCCTCATTAAATCTTACTGTTGAGTTTTTGCAATTTTCCAATGGTCATCTTTATTTCAAACCCAGTCTGTTCCTCTCTGTCTCTGAGTCTGCCCTCCTCTGACCTTGATGCACTCTGGGACTGTCTGCTGGCTCACAAGGTCATGAGCAATTGAGATTCACCCTCTTCTGCTCCAAGTTCAATGGAAAAGCAAGCACATCCTTCCAAAATGACTCTGGATGTTATAACCAATGGACGGCAGGCGAGTCAGGGCAAGAAGAACAGGAGGTGTCCACCATATATGCTTCTTCAGAAAGGCCTACTAGCCTGAGTACAGGCAGATTTCTGAGTTTCTGAGTACGCCCTCTCTCAGTGATTCCTAGTCAAGAGACTTGACATTGCTCAGCCCTGTCTGTAACTTCCAATTCCAGGCCTTAGTTCACTCACATATGGAAATGGGTCCTGCTTGCCAAAATCTTTTCTGTGAAATATAAGTCACAGATGGTTAATAAACATTTTATATGTAGGCAATGGTTTATTAATATTCATTCACAGCAGCTTATTCTCTTTGGCTACAAATCACTTATTTATTAAAATAGCAAAACCTTGTTTCATCTGCCTAATAATCTAATATTTATGTTCTGGTGCAAGAGGCATTTCAAATTAACAAGTATAGTCATGGGCCATATTTTCAGTCAACACAAGGCTGCATGGACCAGAGTGGTCCTGTAAGATTATTAGTTAAGATAAAGTACCTCATTGGGTATTGAACAGTTTGAGTCAGTTCCTTACATACTTTCAAGCTGATAGATTGCTATATTATTGTCAAGGTGGGTTTTAGATATTTTTTTAAAATATGCACAGATAGGAGCAAGAGCTAAATTAGCAAAATTATATTCCATTTGTCCATGTGAGAACAAGCAAATGCTATGTAAAATACAGACAAAGAACTGAATAGATTAAGCATGTAAAAAAAACATAGCTATAAATATGGAAAAGTTACACAAGTCTTTAAACTGTTGTAAAATTAACACATTTTCCAGGATGGCATTCTCTTTGCCTCTTAAAAAAGTCACCGCAAAGCAAGGAAGATAAGAGACACAAACTCCATATTGAATGAAACTAGGTGGCACAAACAACTTAAAGCATAAAATATCAAGCCAGAAAGTAAACGGAGACTTAGGCAACAGGAAAAGAGTTAAAGCAAGCAGGGAAGGTGCAAAAGCAATTGTGCATACTCCCCCTTAGCCAGTAGGACATTTTAGGCAGTAGCTGAGACATGCTTAACCACAAGTTCTCATGAAAAACTACTAACAGCAGGGGAAGAGGGCTGGTGCCTGTGTGCTTATATGCATGTGGTAAATGTTGCCAGCAGAAAAGAAGAGCACATGACATCCAAATAACGAAATAAAGAATCTTTGCTTGCAATCCCCTATTGCCAGTTGTTATACCTGGTGGCCAATCTTATTGTAATCAATGAGTGAGTACAGCACCCACCTAATTGTTGATTGATATTTTCAGTTCATCAGTAAGCAAACATAAGGTAATAAAGTTACCTGGGAGAACTTCATTCATCTATTTGTGAATGAGGTGAATGCATGTTTTGATGGGTTAGAAAATAACTAGTAATACTTGACTTAGAAAATAACTATAAATATTTGACTAAGCACTAAAAATTCTTCCTTGGTGTTACTCTAGTCATAATATGATAACTAGAGAAGGCATGCTTAAGTCTAAATTGCATTGCAAGCATTTTCTCTGTCACTTTCTCAAAATAAAGATGAGAAAACAATGAGTGAAGCCTGGTACTTTGAATTCCTATGGGGGAAAAAAAGTGCTTATATGGTCCAATTCCATTAAATGTAGAGTTAGAGAGAATGCCAGTCACGTCCAGGTACATAGTATTTCCCCCTTTCACTGTGCATATCACAATTTATGTAACAGTTTACATGGATTAAATGGATTTAAATATCATATTTTTCCTCAGAAATTGTTGTCTGATCTATCCCTGCTGGGTTTCTAGTATCTAGAACAGAACTTGGCATTTTTGTAGGCATTCTACAAATATTTATTAAATGCAAAATAAAACATTGAACTTACTCTGTGCCAGATACTATCCCAAGTGTTTTGTATATGTTGGGCCATAGCATCCACAGAACCCTATAATGTGGCATCACATTATATTTTATAAATGTAACCAGGAAGTAATTGATCCAAGCCAGGATTTAACCCCATGCACTTCAGTTCCATGCTTTTTAACACAGAATATTCTCTTAGAATATCAGAGACATATTGCTGGCAAAGAAAAATCTCAGGATGTGTGTGATGTTGCAGAATTTAAAAGCAACAGAGAACTGAGTGTGTTAGCACATCTTTAATCCTTGCACTTGGGCAAGAGACAAGTGGATTTCTGTGAGCCCCGAGCCAGCCTAGTCTATACAATGAGATCCTGTCTCAAAACTCAAAATAAAATAAAAGGCAACAGGGTCAGGTTAGAACAATTGAACAGAGAAAATACACTGGAACTGACAGATGTCCTACATTTGCACCAAAATGCTCAAAAAGAAACCATGCAATTTAGTAGGCATTGCTAGGTGGTGGGAATATGGGCAATTCGTATTTTAATGTTCTTAATATCATATTATTGTTTTAATAATGTGTATGATTTACTCGTGGGGATAATTTAATAGGCTTTCACGTTTAAAAAACATAGCTGAAACAAAACATAATTCATCAAAAGTTCGAAGAGCTTGTCAAAAACAAGTGTGTTTCCTGTGATAATAGATCTCTTTGGTCTAAAATACAGATCCAATGAAGAAAATAAAGTGTATTTGTAAACTCATGAAAGGTGGTATAAAGTTGATATAGGATTGTTCACGAAATCAAGAGTATTAAAACTAAGGTTTATAAAAAGCTCAGAAAAGGTAATATACATAAAATATTAGACATTTCAAAGCATTCACTCAGCAAGGGGTATACATTTCTACTGTTCTATTCAAGATTGTCCCTGCATGTTTGGAATGGTAAGTTCTTATATTTTGATGATTTGTCTTAATTTACCATCCTTTGCTTCTTAGGTACCAGCAAAAGCCAGACGCCTTACTCAACAACTTCCCTACCACCACCTCCAGCAACCCATCCAGGCAGCCTGCCACCACCTCCAATGTCCCATCCAGCCATCCAGCCACCACTACCAGCGTCTCACCCAACACAACCTCCAGTGCCAAGCCTACCCCCCAGAAACATTAAGCCTCCCCTTGATCTGAAGTAAGTAAAGGATCATCTTACAATTTCATCACCAATGTCTTGCCTTGGATTTCCAAATTATTCATGGCTGGGTGCTAAAAGATCTATGGAAAACTTCTGTGGAACATTAGTAGGCAGTTGGCACAAAACTGGTCAGTACAGTGATATTCCACCATAATAGTATAATTTGACTTTACCTTAGTCCCCCACACACCATAGAGTTGGTCTTTTGTCCATAATCCACTGGGTAAAGTTTGTTAATTACAAAATCATATTGAGAGCTTCCTTAAGTGCCTCACAATTCAATAAATTGAAAACTAATTTATTATGAGTACCATGACTACTTTTCACTTTGTAACACTTCCATAGGAGTTTAAAGTTAGTAACTAAGGATGTACGAGTAACTTGGTGTGTCTTACCTTCTATGTGGGCTGTGCTGTGAATGCATATTAACATTATACGCCTCCAGGCATTTGAGTCTGTAAATGTTTAATTGAAGACTCAACCACCTTGGGAGATTCTGCTATCAAATCAAAGTGTAAGACACCTGTTTACTATTATATTAAGGCTAAATAAAGTAACTAATATATATTCTCTTAAACACTTTATTCCCATATAAATTATTTTTCATATATATAAAATCATATTTCTTATTCATAATTCTTCTTACCCTTTGGTAAATTTAACCCTTTGAATTTAGATCTCAGAATTTCTTTTTCATGTATATATTTTTATTTTACATTTTACTTTTTGTTTTGTTTTGTTTTGTCTAAGATAAAACTTCACTGTACATCCCTTTCCTGGCCTAGAACTCACTAGATAGCCCAGGCTGGCTTTGATCTTAGGAAGGACCTGCTGCCTCTCCCTCACCAGTGTTGAGATTGCAGGCATGTGCCACTACAGCAGGCCACGATCCTAACACTTCTAAAGTTTGTTTAGACACAGCTTCAGCAAAGCCTCTGAGTGTGGCATAGTTTTAGTATGAAATCTTCACAAATTACTCAAATGTGGCTTCTGAATATTAATAAGGCTTGGAGGCTAGTCATGATTTTATTAAGGACATTAAGGGAAGGAAGGGCCTTTGACACTCTGTCTACTGCTTCAAGTGTCCTCCAGACCAGGCATATGTCTAATGACTCATTAAAATGGCTCACCGAGCTCAGCTTACAGGAGAGACTGGGATTCAGTAAGGTAAACAAAGGGAAGACACAACCAGCAGGTGGCGCTGTCTAAACACAAGCTTCCATACAGAGAGCATAACTATGAAACCCAGTGTGTGTCTCAGGCAGCCTCCAGAAGAAGCCGCCCAGAGATGGTAGAAACTATATGGGAGGAGGGGAGCTGTCTCATAGGTTCCTTGGGCCTGGCAGATGCCAAAAGACCAGAAGTCTAGAAAGAAAGCAAGCATTACTATCAGTCACATGATTGATAAGGTCTCAAACAGCAACTCAAACACTTTTACCAGCTAGGCCATTTTCACTGCAGTATACAATTGTAGAGAAAATGTATTTTTGTATATAAGCCACAGTCCAGCATTGGCAGCACATTCTTCTAAAATATGACACATCTGAGCCTGCTGTGTTAACTCTCTGAAAAACCTCATTCCCTAGAATCCATCCGGATAAGGCTCCTAAACAGGCTCTAGAAGGAAGAAGCGATTTCAAAAGCAGTGCTACAGCATTGGATACTGGTCAATACGCCAGCTTTGCAAGGAGTCACAAAGAAAGCAAAGGGCTCAGATTCCATCAGTTATTCACAAAGCTCGCTGATAGTAATAAAATTTGCTTTATTTAAAGAAACTCCTCTTAGTGACTCATCTATGATCTTCCAACTTCATTTTAAAAAAACATACACTTGGAAGAAAAGTAGAAAGAATAAAAGAGGCTTGGGTGTTTTACATTACCTGGAAAAATCTATGCTTGGAGTATCGGGAAGCTAGCTGCCATACGCAGGAAAAGGGGAAAGTGTGAAGGCTAAGGATATCTACAGCTAATCTGTCTCTTCAAAAGAGAAAGTGTCAACAGTTTGAAAGTTCCCATCAGTAAATTTCACAATGAGGAAATATCTAGATTAGAAAATTTCCCCCATGGAAAGGGAAGTTAGATAAATATATAGAGGAAATGAAATCAAAATGGACACTCTTGTTCAGGCTCAGGAGTTTATGGGCAATGTAGGGGCTGGATCTGGGGTAGAAAGATGCTGCTGTAAGATGCAGGCAAAAGATGCAGTGTTTCTCTGCTTCCTTACCCACACTTCAGAGTGTCTCCATGATGCTTCCCAAGCACCGCTCTGCTGGTCTGCAACTGTTTTCCCACTAATCAAAATCTACTCTCATGTCATGATCTCCTAGGCTTTTCAAATATCCACTTAGCAAGTCTTTGAGTCACTCCTCTGTGGCCTTTCAATTGGACTTCAGGGAGCATTGTGCACAAAACAACCATCCCTCCCTGCCTTTATATTAAAAGCAAGGACTGGAGAGGGAGGAACAGCTCAACAGTTAAAAGATTCTATAGCGGCCAGCACATGTCAAATGCTGAGAGGGACAGCAGAGCAGAGTTAGGGAGACTGGGAGTGCATGTTTGGGGTGGGGTGGGTAATTACAAACAGCAGATTGTTACAACTTTAAACAGAGATGTGAGGTAGCAAAGATGAGAGGAAGCATGGGCATTAGGCATAAAGCTGTGGCAGGAGAGAGGGTGAATAGAGGCCTAAAGAGTCCAAAGGCTAAAGAAGGAGGTTAGCAGGGCTACACTAGAGGCAACAAGAGAAGGGACAAGGGGAAAAGAGACAGCTCATGAGGGCTCCATGCGCTGTGACAGTCTGTAGCTGGCACCCTGAGATGAGAACTCCTGCAGGTTTGAGCACAGGGCCACCAGGTGTTTTGTGTTTCATTAAAGTCACTTTCAGTAGATGGGCAAGAGTTAAGGGCAGCAGCAGAACTAATGAAATGTTACAGAAATACAGGAAAGCTATTGAGGCATTCTAACCAAGATGAGCTGCCCTCGGCTGAGGTGGCAACAAATGTCTGCACTATGGGTAAATGTTGAGGGGAGCGACAGCAGAATTTGGATTTAGTTATAAAACTCTGGCACACGCCTTTAATCCCAGCACTCGGGAGGCAGAGGTAGGTGGATCTCTGTGAGTTCGAGGCCAGCCTGGTCTACAGAGCGAGTGCCAGGATAGGCTCCAAAGCTACATAGAGAAACTCTGTCTCGAAAAACAAAAAACCAAAAAAACAAAAAAACAAAAAAACAAAAAAA